CAGAAGTAATGTTAGCAATCAGAAATCAGAAATCATCGATTTCTTTTTTTTTTTTTTGATCTGCAAATTTCGCATTTTTTTTTGCAAACCGCAATAATCAAAATAAACTTATCTAGTATCTCCAGGTAGTGCTACAAATTGTCAAAAATTTTGCAATCGATTAGTTGTCAACTTTTTGATTATTCGATTTTTGTTCGATTTTTATTTGATTTTAATATGAGTTGCCAAAAATTTTTCAATCGATTAGTTATCAACTTTTCGATTAGTTGCAATTTTCGATTTTCGATTTGTAGCACTATCTCCAGGTATGTAATCGCTGCTTAAAAATTCGATCTAAGTGTTGTTTTGGTTAACATAAAGCTTAACTCGCGATTTTTCAAATAATCCATGATTTTTTCTTTTATATATTCGAATAAAAATTTATTCAGTCATTGTAAATATTGAATCTTGTTATGTCTAAATTGTAATAAATAGTTTAAAATGCATTTATCTTCAAATACTTAATGTATTTACATTCAATTTCAGTTTTTTAAATATAAAATATAACTTGAATTCAATATCTAGTTCAAAATCTTTAAACATTTATTATTTTTTTAGATATATAAAGTTGTTTATACGCGGTTTTAGGAATTTACTAAATCGATTTTTTTTTTTAATTCATGCATTATTAGGTCTTATATTTTTTTTTTGACTTTTGCAATAAAAAAGTTTACAATTTTAATATATTAGAATTTTTTTATTTTGCCCTCGAGGCTCTTCTATTATTTCTATTGAAATTTAGAGATTATTAAAACATACTATAATAAAAATTTTTAGAAGCACTCAAATCAGAGTTTTCTTTTACTATTATGCAATAAATTAGCAGGGTTTCATCTTTCGACAAGAAGAACGAAGATTATGTAAAATGATAATCTTTGTTTAGAGAATGTAATATTCACAAAAAGTATAATATTACTAATATAGTGAATGAATTTAAACTCCGTACATACGTACCTGATTTTGGTAGCGTTAATCTAACAGTTAAGTACATTAGCTGATTTTATTTTTTGACCTTAATTTTATTGTGCAACTAAAAAATATCTTGCTTTAAATGTTTCTTATAAGCAGTTAAATATCTGTTTGTTACAAGTGAAATTTAAAAAAGCAAACATATTAATGTCGTGATTAAAGGTGATATCTACTTGAAGTTGCAACTTCGCATTTGCCTAAGTTACTAGTTAATGTGTATAAGAAGATCTAACTCAGAGGCCAATTTCAGTCAAGTGCAATTACAGTTGCACTTTCAGGTCATTCGGCTAGAGATATCAACTAGAGAACAGTTAAATTGGACTTTTTTTTTTTACGTATTTTTAATTGTTAGTGTTTATCCCATGGATACTATGTAATAACCTTTGCTTGTTTTGTTTAAGTTATTTTCATTGGTTTATGTGAAAATAATTTAACTTATACATGGGCTGTCGTCAATAGAAATAAGGCAGATTGACATTTTTTTAAAAAAAACAATACCTTAACTTTCACAGCTCATATCTCGATGGATTTTGAAGATATCTTGATGATTTAAAATTCAAAAGAATGCTTAGATAATAGCTTTCATTTGATTATTAAAACCTTAAAATCCATCGAGATATATAAGCTGTGAAAGTTAAGGTATTGTTTTTTTTAAAAAAAATGTCAATCTGCCTTATTTTTATTGGCGGCAGCCTACATAGACCAGTGCTACCTTCATATGTAACTTTCTTTACTGTTAACAATTAAATTATTAGTACACATTATTTTTCTTATTTTCGTCATTTTTAAACTAAATAGCTATATGACGCTGCTCACAAAACCAGGAACAGAATTTGTTGTAGATGAATATGGAGCATCTATAGTGTCAGAATCAGCTTAAGAGTTTGGATACTAAAACGACTTAAGTAAGAATTGAAAATTTATCATAAAAAAATATATATAATATCATTGTATAATAATTAAGCTCAATCGGTATTATGGGACGATAATAATAAATAATACAATTACATTTATTTTTGCTTCGTTTTGCAATTGAATTTTTATGCTAATTAACAGTAAATGTGGACTCATTCTTATGTTTCATATATGATATTAAGTACGGTCAACTCTCTTTATAATAGCACCTCTTTATAATGAACGAACTAAAAATTTTAAAAAATAAATTATTTCTATTATGTCTTCAAGTCACAAAAAAAAGAAAAAATAGAAAACATTCAAAGTACAGAACGGTTGATGAAACACATGGTGAAAGTTTTTCGTTAAAAGAAATTTTACGAGTGCACTGAAAATAAAAGAGATCATTGTGGCTGTTTAATGCGCCATCACCTGGCACACATTCAAGAATTGCGATATTTTCAAGTTTTTCATATGATATTTAATTAATCCTATTCATACTGTATAAATTTATTTATATCATATAAGGTATTAAGAATTTCGTTTTTGCATCATAACTTTTTACTTAAGTTTTTCTAAAATCTGAAGATATAATGATAATGAAAAGAGTGAACCAATTATTTTTCTAATCAATCAATGAAAAATTTCGATCAATAAACGCAATTCTATGGAATGATAAATACCCGTGATCAGTTAAACGAACTTCCGCAAAATTTTCTTTCTGACGTTCATCACGTGTTTTATTCATTGGAATAATCAATACAATTGATTCATTAAACTATTTTTGCTAATAAAAATCTAAGATTGATTAAGGTGCTTGAGAACACCCTTAATATTAGCGTTAGGTGAAAAATCGTCTAACATATACCAGTTTACAACCAATTTATTTAAATAAAATTTCAATAAAAATCAATAATTAACAGTTATAAAAATACACCAATTTTCTTTAAAACATATTATTTTAAATTTTTTGTCTATTTCTCCTTCTTCAACTTCCGCCATACTACATTCTTTTTTAACCTTTTCTAAATAATTAAATGAATTTTTATCAAAAGATACATGATTATAATTTGAATCTATTATTCTTTCTTCATCAAACCAAAAATAAATTTTGTCATCATTATGATGAAAATCTATATACTTTTCTACCATTTTTGATTCACAAACAGATAAACCACGAGAAATAAATATAATAATAAAATGTTTAAAAATACCAGAAAAGTTAATTGCAATTTTGTTAAAAATTTCAATTCTATGAAGTAAACCTCTAAAAAATATATTAGGGTAGTGCAAAATAAAATATTTATCAACTGAGAAAATATAGTAGATATAAATAATAAACTAAGATAAATATGATGTTGTTCATATAAACTTTTAACGTTAGTAACTCCAAGAAACACTGTTCCATATACTAATAAACTGTATGAACTAAGAAAGGATAATAGTAAATAAGTAAGTTCTTTAGATATCAAAAATTGAGCAACGATACCCAAATATAATAAATAAGAAGCAAATTTAAATTTTTCAAAAGATGCGTTATTTGTATTAATGGATGTTGTAATAAAAAAGGTAAGTGTAGCGATGGCAGTAGAGGTAAGAGATTGAAATAAAATTTGTTTCAGTTTAAAAGCAATAAAATAAAAATAAAAAACGAGTGCTGCTAAAGGTGATAAAATTATCAAAATTAAAAGAAAAGTATAAGGAATAATTGAATTTATTATTTTTGCAATAGGATCATTACGAAGATTGACAAACAAATGATTATCATTCTTCATAAATATATTAAATAAAGTACCAGGACTCCATCCTTCGAAATAAGGAAGATAAGATGGACATCGAACATATAAACCTTCAATATCAACCTCAATGATTTTATCATCTACTTCGGAAGTAAACTCCATATCATGATATTTTTTATAATATTTAAATGCTTTATCTTTGTTTTTTTTTGTTAGAGATCCATTGCGATAACACCATCCAACATTATATATCGCAACAGAACGGCCATTTTTTGCAGATTCCAAATACCACTCCAATTCTTTTTTTTTATCTTTGGTTGTGCCCTTGCCTTTTCCATAACAGAGTCCAAGATTAAATTGACTATCCGGATTGCCACCTTCAGCAGATTTAAAATACCACTCAAATACCTTTTTTTCATTCTTAGCTGTGCCTATGCCATTTTCATAGCATCGCCCAAGGTTATTTTGTCCGTCCGAATTATCATCTTTAGCAGATTTCAAATACAACTCAAATGCCTTCTTTTCATCCTTAGCTGTACCTGTGCCGTTTTCATAGCATCGTCCAAGATTATTTTGTCCATCCGAATTACCATCTTCAGCAGATTTCAAATACCACTCAAATGCCTTCTTTTCATCTTTAGCTGTGCCTATGCCCTTTTCATAGCATCGTCCAAGATTATTTTGTCCATTCGAATTACCATCTTCAGATTTCAAATACAACTCAAATGCATTCTTTTCATTCTTCTCAACACCAATTCCATATTCATAATTACATCCATAGTTGATTTCTCTATCAGGATCTGATTTAAATTCATATATGAATTCATTGATTATTTGATCGTGAGCTATTT